TTCGAATAGATAAATTGGGACATGTAAAATGTGTTAAATATCACAAAAGTTTTTCCAAAATTAGAATGTCGATTTATTCCTCGGTTGCAAAATTTTCTAGTAATTTTTATCATAAAATTCTTTCCGTGTAGTTCTTCATGAAAGCAATTGTCTGTTTCATTTATAAAAGTATAAAATATTTATACTTTTATAAAAGTAAAAAAATTTAGATTCAAGTGGATATGTGATCAGTACCCACCGAATAAATATTATATATTTTTTAAATATTTTTTCTCTCAGTGCATTAGTCAAGGCTCCTTTTGAAACGGTCGCCGCTATATTATGCGAGTCCACGCGATGCAACAATATGTGTTCTATTAACCCGAAGAAAAAATCCCGACGCACGATAGAGACGATATCATGCGCGCGTGCGTCCGTCAGACGTCAGGCTCGAGGTCGTATCCGTCTGCATCACCGTTCACTCGCCTCAACTCGCTCATTATCACCGGCGTTGATACGCGACGATCGCGCTCGATCGTGCGTTCTGTTTTATCGACGTTCTCTTGGTCTCTCTGTTCCAGTCGAAGAATGCGCGATTCCCGTATCGGGAGCGTGTCCGGGTGCTCTCCCGTGTCGGGAGCACGATCGTGTGGTTTGCACGACTTTGTCGTTAAAGTAACGCACCTCTCTGTGACCGCGAAGAAATGTCGCTTCCACGTGGGAGATTTCGCGAGACTACGCCGCTCCTCCCGAGTAAGTTTCGTCCCGATCCTCTCGCGATCTTTGGCGCATCGTCGCTTTCCGCGTCGTGACGCGTCATTCTCCACGTTATGACGTATATGCATTTATTATGCATGTGACTAGATGTCGGAGGAGCGTTGTTGACTTCGTTCAGCGGAACAAAGTCGCTCAATGAGCAATTGCAAGGGAGAGAGAGAAGTAGGAGATAGAGAGAGATTCTTAGTTATGTAATTTTTTTAAGATATCGTGCAATATATATATATATATATATATATATAATATATATAATAATTGCTTGATCACAAGCTGCGCACCAAATATTTTCGGCGATTAATGATTTGCGAATTTGAAATGGCTGATGCATACTCTAGATAATTTAATATTGATGCAAAATTTAAAAGTATACATCAAGCAGAACATTATATTTAAATTTTATTTTGGTCTTTAGGCAGCTTCATGTATAAGATAAATGTACCAATGCTCGGACATGTACCTATCTCCGGACATTGTTATTATTTTTATATTTGAATATGAATATTTCAACTTTCAACGTACAATACATATATATTGTGGTATATATACATTTAATATTTATATTTAGTGTATGTTGAAAGATGAAATATTTAGAGAAATATTCAAAATAATAAGAGTGTCCGGAATTAGGTATATGTCCGGGTATTGATATATTTACCTCATTTGATCCAGTATTGGATTATTAATTAATTTCTATTGTGTTATTATATTATATTTTGTTATGTTTTTCTTTTCTTCATTGTGTTTTCTGTCCGATTTTTTTATTTATATCGGTTGGTCACAGTTATGCAACACTGAAAAAAAATGTTTGGCATTTGTAACCATAATCACATAGAGAAATAAAATTGCTATAAATTATGATTAAGGAAATAATTCTTTTATTAAATTCTACTATAATGTTAATGATAATAATCTTATATATATGTTATTATTATCATTTTCGTGTTAGAACAACAAAAAATACGATTGGCACTAAAACATCTATAATTTTAGCTAAATCAATTATTCTTTCGACCAACTCACAAAATTATGATTTTTTAGTTTTTATTAGATTTGGTTTCCGCGTTTAAGCCGCCTGAATTCTTTTTTGTTTGATTCCGACGTTTCGCAAACATTTCAGTTAGCTTCATCAGAGAGGAACGATCCGATGCGATTTTGAGTTTTTATTACCAATGGATACTTCTTTCTACATAAAATAAAAAAGATCCAAGTCGTATGGACGCCTAAAATTAATTAAAAGACAATTTTCACTTTCTACTTTGCATCATTTTTTTATTAATTGCGTCTTTTTATCCATTTTTCAGTTTTTTTCTCTTTAAGAACAATTCTCTTTAAGGACAAGCGTTAAGCTTGTCAATGAATAAAAAGAAGCTTTTAAAGAGAAGACTGACCACGCTTGACTTCTTGAACGATTGCGAAGAACCTCAATGTTGTCTATACTTTTTAAAATCATCAGTGAAGAAAAAAATTTTATTTTATATTATATTTGATTAAGATAAAATCAAAATTTTCTTCATTTTTTCCGAAACATACTCCATGTGAGTTGAATCATTCTTGCGTACCGTGGCCAGTTATGCTAATTTTTTTATACGTTGCCAAGATCACGCGTGGGAATATAGCAAGCTGCAAGTTTTGTTTACGAAATGTTTTATTCAGAGATCTGTCTATTTGTTTGCTGTGTTTCGATTATCGATCGCGATTCGCTTCGCCGATATGCTACAACGCGGCCGTGGAAATTTCGTGACGCAGATATATATCGGGACATGTGTGTTTGATATATGACATAGCTCTCGACACGTGTGTGAAACTTAACTGAACGTAGCAGTCGTGGCCGAGTGGTTAAGGCGTCTGACTAGAAATCAGATTCCCTCTGGGAGCGTAGGTTCGAGTCCTACCGACTGCGAAAAGGGTGTTTTTTTTTCTTCCGAAAACACGTGAATACGAAATGAATGAGCAAAATTTGACATGAAACTATTTTCTCAAAAATTATTTTTTTGTTAAAAAATTTCCATGTGCCAAGACACATGAGTGCCCGTAAATCTAAGATTAATGCAAATATATTTTATGTGATTTCATATATTTAAAAAAAAAGAAAATTTCTAAATATACTTTGCTATAATTTAAAATATTCGGTAAAAATTTCGTACAAATAAATATCCTGCGTAAAGAATTACTCCAAAACAGATTTTACGTAAGATAAATGCACCAATTTCAGGATACGTACCTAATTCTGGATAGTTTTATTGTTTTAATCTCTAAATATGAATATTTAAATTTTCAAAATAGAATATATATATATATTTTTTTTTATATATTAAAAATTTAAATACTTATATTTTTTTAAAGACCAAAATGGTAAGAATGTCCAGAATTAGAGCATTAGTACTTTTATATTCATCGGATATGTTCGATCATGTGTTGTGTATCGATTGACTTTCTCAGTTAATACGTCCTGCACAATAAACATGTAATTAATATTGAAGAGATAAGCAAAAACGGACTGTGTTATGTCAGTCAGTTAAATGACGGTCTCTCTCTGTTTTAAGCCGTTATCAGAATCTCGCAGACAGCGGTGCTTCCTATGACTGTTTATTTGTCTTTCGCGGCATGTAATAGTCGTACGTGCTCGACAAATATGTCAGATCAACGACTCGATGTGCTCCGGTGATTAATCAAAATCTCTCTTCCACGAATGACGTCTCGACGACAGCGTCCAATTAATCTTGACAGCTCCGTTTTCCCGTCGTCGTCCAGACGGAAACGAAATTCGACGGCTGTGATGTGTATTTCCCTCTCGTCTCCAAAACATATACACCTGATTCGTGTTTAATATTTCGCGACCGCTTCTCCACGCAAGATAATTAATTAATTAAAAAAATACGTAATTTCCTTTATGATTCTTTTACTTTCAGAACATACTCAGAACATACTATTGATCTGTCTCTTGATAAAATATTAGTGACGTTTCCAATAAATTTACTTTTAGAAAGAGAGAAAGAGGGCAATCGGATTTATAAAGATTTTCCTTGTTGCATCATTTTTGGAAAGTATGTTGCAATACGTTGTAATACATTGCAAGAAAGATTTAAAGATGTAACAATACATTAAGTCCGGATAATAGTTACTTGTTATCAACTGATTTAATGAAATAGTTTCTACTAAACACGCGTGCGCGCGTGTGTGTGTAGGTGAATATAATTAAATAATTTGGTAAGTTTTAACAAATAATTTTAGCAAGGCTTAATAATTGTTACTAAGACTAGGTGGCTATTACTAATTTACGTGGTACATGTTACCAATTTGTTAAATAAAACTATATTATTTAATGATATTTATCACATTATAATAAATAAACAAAATAAATATCTTGGTAATAATCAAACAATTTAGTAATGACCAAATTATTTGGTATTATTCACCAAACTATTTAGTGATATTTATTACATTATAATAAATAAACAAAATAAATATCTTGGTAATAATCAAACAATTTAGTAATGACCAAATTATTTGGTATTATTCACCAAACTATTTAGTGATATTTATTACATTATAATAAATAAACAAAATAAATATCTTGGTAATAATCAAACAATTTAGTAATGACCAAATTATTTGGTATTATTCACCAAACTATTTAGTGATATTTATTACATTATAATAAATAAACAAAATAAATATCTTGGTAATAATCAAACAATTTAGTAATTATATGACCAAATTATTTGGTATTATTCATCAAATTATTTAATCAATTCAATTAAATAAAAAATTGACTTTACTAATTGTTTTGCAATTATTACCAGCCGGTAGGTAATTATTACGATATTCGATAATAATTACTAAATATTGCATTGAAACACTCAAGCAAATATATTTGTTAACTATTACAAGATTTTTCTCAGTGTAGCGTGATGAAACACCTCCGACGATGCGGAAAAGACTACTCGATAATAATCAAAATTAGCCGAAAAGCTTTGCCAGACTAATCTAGCGATCATATAGACGTATCTCACGTTACCACGATGATATATATATGATAATGTGACGTTATCGCATGATAGCTAATACTTGGGCGGTCACGAGACAAGGTTGTTAAACATTTTATGGGAATCAGATTGCGATTGTGAATCGACAGTCAGTTTTGACACATTACTGTCACATTACTGTTTGTTTGTCGGCAGCGTTATCTCCAGGGTACCCGAATGGCACCTTAACGCTTTATCATGTCGCTAATCTGTAACACTTGAGAAATGGTCGCGTTCCAGCACGTCGTGGTGGATTATCAGGGGGGACTCTGTGAGTCCACGAATGTGTCAGTCACGAAGGTGTCAGTGTTCGACGTGATCTTGGAATCGCTGTGCGACGCTGAATAGAGGACTGGTCCGTGAGAGAGAAAGGAGATTTCGCGGATTTTTTTCTCGCCCTTCACCTCGTCGGGATAGTTCGCGTCACAAACAGCCGTCCGTTTTTTCGTTCTACCGGCGTTTGCGTTTCCGTCTTCTGAGCAATTTTACGAGCGGGCGTCATTCGATTTGGGTAACGCATTGGAGGAAAACCAGAGCGTGTCGGAAACATGACACTGTGTACGTATAATCACTTAAATGATCGATACGCGGCACGATTAATTAAATGCGTATTACAGGGTGAATTTACGTGGTCGGATGGAAGGTGTAGTTGTTATTAGAAAGTTGCGTCTGCACATAGCGATTTTGTAATATCGTGCTCGCGCAGCCCTCGTTATCGCAACTATCGTTGGAACGTCGACAGGCGTGACTATGATTAGTTAATAATTTTACACACACACACACACACTCTCTCTCTCTCTCTCTCTCTCTCTCTCGTTCACGCATTCTGTATAATACGATACAGTAGCAGTAACGATAAGCTGCTTAAACGCAGCTTCTGATCGACGTATCAAATTTGTGCGCATGCTTTGATAACGCGTTAAACAACCTGAGCGATATCGCTAATTGCGATCTATATTGAAAGTAATTAATGTAATTTTTTCTAAACTAATGTTTCATAGATCGTTATCTCGTGATTTCATTCATGGTTCTCTGCACTTTCAATATCTCAACGTTCTGCTAATTAAGCTTCGCGATAAATGAAGCACAATTAAAAGGATTATATTGAACATGATTGCATTGTATTGAACGTGATTGACGTATTGCTTTTTTCAAGTATATCAAGGATCATTCTTTCATGGCATTGTCGTTGTGGTAATTCAAATTAAATATTTGCTGATTACTCTTGACTATTATCCTCTTTATAATAGATATTTCTCATCCGTGCGGACTAATTGTCGCTTTGAGACCGTTGCAAATTTTGTCTTTCAACCGCTTTCTCGTGATTATTTCACGTTCGTATGGTCGTTTTATAAATCATAGGGCCGAGTGTCTCGTTCTCTCGAAGTTGCAACCTCAAGGGGGTTCTCGTACGGAGGATACCGATCCTGGCATGGCTGCCTCTGTACAGTTGGACCAAACTTCTGCAGGACACTTTGGCGGGGTTGACAGTGGGTCTGACCGCGATACCGCAGGGCATAGCGTATGCAATAGTGGCTGGACTTCCGGCTCAGGTGCGTACGCGACACGAGTGTTCTTGCGAGCGCGCACTTGCCGCGTGCAAACTTCTCATCGCATGAACGACGTCTCGGGAAATTATTCGCGAAACTATCATTAGATATCAACGCGCATCTCGCGAATTCTCCACAAAGTTGATCGAGAAACCGCGAGACATTCCGGTAAATCGATCGAAGTTAATCGAAGTGTCGCAAGTGTGCGATCCAAATATACAATTTAGCTGAACCAAAATTCAAATGTGCGGAAAAGTTATCGAAAATTCAAGTGTGCGAAAAAATACTTTTCACAAGCGTATCTACTTTTCTTTCGTGCAATTACTTTGCGAAATAACGCCATTACTCATGTCGCTCCGAAATCGATAGAGACAGAAACGCGCGATCTAGTATTCTTTCACACGGAATACGAGAGCGGTCCTCTCGCAGCGTAGACAAAAATATCGATGGCAGTCATCACTTTTCAAACGTTCAAACGTAGCGTCCGCCATTTTACTGTCTAAGACTAAATTTAGATATCTGTGCGACCAACAGAAATCTATACTCTTCAGAACTCGCGCTCGTTAACCACGGTGGCATTTCTCTTTCTCTCTCTTTGCTTTTTCTCATGAGATCGGGCGAGAAGATTCTTCAGAAATACGATTTTCGTTCAGCTCGCTTGCGAGATTGCGCGCATCCTATCGATTCGTACACGGCCGAACTATTCCGAATATAGTAAAGTAGAAACTTTCGTAGCAGATGGAGAATTAGAGTTCGCGGAACCGTGACAATGATTTCGCAATCGCGCAATTATTCGCGGTTTTCCGCGAGATAATTGAATTCCCCGCCGGATATTTTGAGAATGCTCGCCGAGAGTAACTCTCCCGTTTAATCTACGATAGTTGGAAAGGCGTTTCTCGTTAGGTGAACTTTTGAAAACTTCAGTACGGCCTGTACAGCGGTTTCATGGGATGCTTCGTTTATCTGATCTTCGGCAGTAGCAAGGACGTCACGGTGGGCCCTACCGCGATAATGGCTTTATTGACGCAACAGCACGTTACGAAACTGGGCAAGGATTTCGCCGTAAGTAGAATTTATTAACATAGCCCCGAATTTTAATCTCCTCTTTTCTCCTTGCGCCGCACTGAAAAATTCATTTAGTTGGGTTAATCAAAATTTGATTAAAATCGAACAAATGTTTCGGTAAGAGCCAAAATTTCGTTCTTTCTACCAAAGATTTGATTCTTTGAAACTAAACCTGTTTCATTTTTGTTTCAAAAAATCAAACCTTTGGTTCAAAATACCAAATATTGGTTCTCACAATCAAAATATTTGTTCCATCTTATTTTAACCAAATTTTGGTTAACTCAACTAAATGAGTTTTTCAGTGCGCGTACAATCTATTTCGTTCAACACCTCTGTCTCTCTCTGTCTCTCTCTCTCTCTCTCTCTCTTTCTCTCTCTTTCATGCACACGAATATTTAAACAATCCCATTTGCCAACCGCGTAACTATATCCTGTGAAACATTTGTTTCGATTTTTAATGTTAAACCTTATTTCTTATTCGGCAAACCCGTTATCTTCTCAGAAAACACAAAATATTTTTGTTATTCGTCAGTGGAAAATTTGCCGCCGTTACGATTTATAAATGAGGCTCGATAAGGAGCGGATAAAATCATTTTCAGGTGCTCTTATGCTTCTTATCGGGCGCTTTGATAACGGCCATGGGACTGCTTCATCTGGGATTTCTTGTGGATTTCATTAGTATGCCCGTAATTTGCGGTTTCAGTAACGCCGCGGCCGTTATTATCGCTACTTCCCAATTGGGTACTTTGTTGGGCATAAAAGGTCGTAGCGATTCCTTTATCGATGCTATCTCGCAAATTATCAAGCACGGGAACGAAACAAAACTTTGGGACACGCTGTTAGGAGTGTGCTCAATGACAGTACTAGTTCTTCTCAAGGTACAATTAATTAGATTACGTATCGTATAATTAATTAGATTATCGTTATGAAATTCGTTCTGGGGAGAATGCACTCGATCTTCGATTGATATTTTTGGTCAAATGGTCAATTTTAAAAACATTTTTAACGAACATTTTTATTGTTGATTTAAGTGTATTTGTGAATATCCAATTAGTTGTTAGTAAATGTCATCTACATTGTGAAAAAATGTTTGGTATTTGTAACTATTATCATAAAGAAATAATTATCATAAATTATGATAAAGAAAACTATTTTTTAAAATTCTACTGTAATGTTAGTGTGAATAACTTTATATACTACCATTTTACTATAAAAAATATGCCTGAAGTCAAAAATAACTATAATTTTAGTTGGATCGACCATTTTTTTCTCTCAGTATATGCAGTATTATCTTTTAGTTTGATTCTAAAAATATTGTTCTATTTAAATAAGAACTAAATTTGTTTTATGTATTTAATTGTTACCAAAATACCTGAAGGGGATGCTTACGTGAAAAAAGGTTTTAGACCTTTAATGAAGCGCACGAACGTTTACTTTTAGCTTGGTCGTCTATTTTAACGGGATATAATTAAACATGCAATGAGATATTCGAAGTAAATCAATAAAGTGAAATATTTGAAAATAGAAACTGCCCGGCAAGAAGTTGGGAACTCCTCTAGAGAAATTTATGTGGCTGGTTTGTATAGCCAGAAACGCAATAGTCGTGATGGTAGGCATTCTCATAGCGTACGTGCTATTCTCTCACGACATCAAGCCTTTCCAAATTACGGGCAACATAACTGAGGGTTTGCCGCCGGTCTCGTTGCCTCCGTTCACCATCGTAAACGGAAATCATACGTACACCTTCTTCGAGTTGGTCAGCGAACTCGGCAGCAGTATCGTTTCTGTGCCACTCATCGCCATCTTAGAGAGCATCGCAATCGCGAAGGCATTCGGTGAGTAAACGAGAGGCTTGACATCGACCGATTGACAGAGAAAGAGCATGATTTCGATATCCTTCTCTGAAATCGAAATATTAGTCCTACAGTGACTCTACAAATTCCGTTGAACTTGAAGGATCATTGAAGAATCTTGAAGTGTAACGCTAGAATTGGTTTTACTGAAATAATCAAATATAAACAATTCAGAAACAAATCTTCTTATGTCTCTACATAGAAACGGCAATAATTAATTATTTGCAGCATGAAAGTAGAGTAGTAACTTATAGTTGTTACTAATAGTGTTATACCTCCAGATTGCTTCAAGTCCTTCAAGTTTAACGGAATTTGCAGAAAAATACTGTAAAACCAAAATCACGACTTGCACTTTCTCGTCAAAGAAATCTTATGTCGAGATTTTTCTCATATTATGTGCAATGTGTGAAATCTTTAAAATTATTAAATTGTGTGATAAGTAATCTCGGATTTTTCCGACAAAATAAAACGTTTATGTTTTTATGTTGTTTTTATAATTTTACGATATAATATATGCGCCATTTTGATTTATGACTCTCTGCCATTCTTCGCACAGATTATTTTATAAAATTATAACAACATAAGTCAGTGCAGTCGTTTCATTTTATCTGAAAATCTGAAATTACTTATCGCACAATCCAATATTTAAAGAAAAATGTGTCGTTGTGAAGAGATGACGTTTAAAATTAATTATCGTATTATATCGAATTTCTCGTGAATTTCATTAGCACGCTCGTAATTTGCGGTTTCAATAATGTAATTACAGTGACCATAATAAAATAAAAGCATATAACACACATGGGCGCGCGCACACACACACATACATACGATATATGATTATGTCGCGTATTAAAGGTTTCGGTGAGGACATGATACGCTCGTGTTTAAAATGAATTTCTCTTGGAGATGTCGCGTTCAGTACCGAAACGTTCTCGATTACGAGGCGATAAAATGTTTAAAGCTACATCTTTAAAAACGCAACAAATTTGCAGCGAAAGGGAAGACGCTCGACGCCAATCAGGAGATGTTGGCGCTGGGTCTTTGCAATATTTTCGGTAGTCTCGTCAAGTCAATGCCTGTCACCGGAAGTTTCACCCGTACGGCCATTAACAACGCCTCCGGCGTTAAAACGCCGATGGGCGGTTTGTTCACCGGCGCTTTGGTGCTCTTAGCATGCGGCCTGTTGACGTCCACCTTTGCGTTCATCCCCAAAGCCACGTTAGCGGCCGTCATCATAATCGCTATGTACTACATGTTCGAGGTGCAAATCTTCATCGTTCTTTGGAGAACGAAAAGTAAGACGCCAACAGTTAGCCTCTACATTCAGGCGCTTCTCGGTCGAGATTCGTTTTCGGTGTTTCTGAACCCTTTCGTACTTAAATTATAATTTTTACATTCTATTTATAATCAATGATCGAAAAAAAAGCCTAATCCAAGCTTATATTTAAAGATATGAATATTGAATTTCTTATAACCGCTATCTTGAGTCCGTCACTTCGAATTTAAATTTTGATGATAAATTTGAAGGTCTAAAAAATTTCTATAATCGCCTCAATGTAAAACATATCTCTTTTGGAAAGGTCGAAGGTACGAAAAGGTTAATTCATTATTCAATTTAATTATTATCAAATCGAGCAATTTTGGAAATAGGTCGCATAATAATTGTTTCCTCGATGAAATCCTTTCTCGTTAGTTTTTAGTCACTCATTAATTACTCATTAATTACTCAGTGAGAGTTTTTAGTTACTCACTAATTAATTACTTTAATCTCTCTTTGTTGGTATTAGCTACTCATTAGTTACACGAGAAGTTTCCAGTTACACTAATTAATTGTTCATCAATTATTGTTGAGTCGAAAAATTCGAGGAAAGTCGTAAAATCAATTTTGCATCTTGGAACAATGAAAAGAGAACAGAGGAAATAAGCGCGGTTATCGGGGGAACTTAGTAAATTCCCGGCCAATTGTGTCAAGTGAATTTACATTGACTCGAAATGCGATCGCTATTTTCTGAAACCGCGACTGGCACGTTGAATTTCAGTTCTTCATTATTGCGGATAATACAGGAACGTGGGAGATACACAGTGTAGCATTCGACCGCGAAGCGCGCGTTAAGTATAGCTCGTTATAAATTATCCGGCAGTTAATCCGACCTCTATCTCTCTCTCTCTCTCTTTCTCTCTTTACGCCTCTGTTCTGTCGACGAGCAGAAATCGATCTGGTGCCGTTGACGGTGACGTTATTATGTTGCTTGGCGGTCGGTCTGGAGTACGGTATGATCGCTGGGGTTGCGGTAAATCTAATTCTCTTACTCTACTTCGCGGCCCGGCCCGGTCTATTGATCGAAGAGCGGATCGTCGATGGCTTGACCGTGCTCTACGTATCGCCCAAGCAATCCCTGAGCTACCCGGCAGCGGAGTACCTCCGAGAGCGAGTAATGTCGTGGTAAGTCCCGCCGCAGATCCGCGTAAGAAATGATGCGAGCGGATACGGAGTGCGCCGGAGGAGAAGCGCAAAACGAACGTTATTCCGCGCGAACGTCAGTCGAATATATCGCAGGTGAAAATATCGTTCAGTAGAAACAATTTTCTCTTGTCCCCCTTTCCGCCGTGACCTCTCGAACTTCGACGACAACGACAAGACCTCGGTGAGTCTCGAATGAGAATCGCTTTGAGAAAAAAAGGAAGGAAGCAATTGGATCGACAAAATCTGCGCGATCACCCACCTTCAAAGAAATATTACACCTATCGAACAAATGACGCGTTAATGCAAAGACAAGTTGCGTTGATATAGTTGCTGACCAAATTTAATTCATTGATAATTCATTAATAATTTAATTCATTGATGACTTATCAACCATATAATTCGTTTAATTGTGATTAAACGCTTGCTCGAGCAAATTTTGTTTAAGCGAAGTTTCATTAAAGCAACCACTTTTCTTTTCTCAGTTTACGTTAGAGGACGATCCCGTTTAAGAGCGACTTCGCAAACGACGAACGGTGATCTATTTTTCATTCGCGCCTCTGTTCTATTCTTGATTCGCAAGAGATGTTTTTCTACTTTCTGACGGGTAACAGCTCGAGAACTGTTTATCGAGGTCTCGACTTTCGCTAAGGAGAAATCGATTTCTAACTTCCTGAGTAGCGACGCGTGTACTTCGCGCTTTTCCTGGGGCACCCCGTATTAGCGAGCGCGCGATGGAAAGAAAGAGAGAGACAGAGAGGGAGAGAACGACCATTCGCAACTTTGTTGCGTGTTCAGGTGCGACAAGAAGTCAGGAAACTTACCAGTGGTTGTGGAGGGCCGTCACGTGCTGAGGATTGATGCTACGGTAGCGAAGAACCTGACGCTGCTGTTGACGGATCTGGCGGCGAGAGATCAGAAGCTCGTCTTTTGGAACTGGTGCGAAGACGCCATGCAGACTTTGGTATGTTACGAGCCGTCCCTCGCGACGTACTGCAGGTCGTCCAGCAACATGGCGCAGATATTCTCAGGTAACACCCGTGTGTTCATCCTGCAAAGGAAAAACACACTGTATTTAATTAAGTGGTCTTGCAATCATAGCGAAAATTATCTAGAAATGAGAAATTAGATAGATAAATGACGAGTAAACATTGCGACATTGCATGCTTTAATCAATCAATCAATCAAATAGTGTGACTAAACGCAAAACCCATCGCTCGTAGAGTTTATTTTGCTACATTGTCAGACGAAGACTGATCAGCAGGTAACTTTTCAGTTAAATAAATCTGCGTAGGCAGATTCTGAACAGAATGTGCTATAAATTTCTGATACTAGAAAAGCTACAAATCTCACATAGGATCTGTTTTATTTGGCGGTGTTGCCAAACTGTCGCCAGAAATCTGATAGAGCTTATCTGATATGCTTATGCTAGCAAATTGATGTCAGAAACTAACAAGTAAATCTACTCAAGATACACTCCGATTTCTTTCTAATTTGGCACAAATGTAAAAGTACAACAAATATTTAGATCATATTTTTTCATTTTGATCCACTTTGAGTTTCACAGGTAGTTTATAACTTTTTAATGTTTTCACTCCTATCAACAACAAAAATGCATAAGAAATAAATTTAAGTACAAGATATAGTTAAATAATTTTAAGAAAATTGACATAGCTGAGACATGAAACATTCTAAATTTCTTTAGCCAAAATTCCAACCGAAATATTTCAAATATGTGCTAATTAGTCAAAATTGGTTTGAATCTCGGCCAAACCGAGAAATTATTTGTATAAATAATTTTTTTCAACTTTTTATATGTTTTGTTTAAACATTTTGTTATTTATACAAATAATTTTACACATTTGACTTCATAATCAACAAATAAAAAACGTATATATTTTATATTCAATTTTATTTCTTGTCTATTTTTGTTACACTTGTTGTTGATAGGAGTGAGAACATTAAAAAGCTATAAACTGCCCGTGAAACTCAAAGTGGGCTAAAATGAAAAAATATTTTTTGTATTTCTACATTTGTGTCAAATTAGAAAGAAATAGGAATGTAGCTTTTGGGTAGGTTTATTTGTAAATAGATTCTGTAGTCTGACGGCAGAGCAAGCAGAGTCTGCTGCGTGCAATTTGGCAGCGAGATCTGCCAATCTATCGTCAAATCACGTCAGTAGATCCTGTTGCTAGAATATGAATTTAATATAGATATAGATAACTATGGTTTTGTTGTGGGATTAAATTTGCTGTCAATCAGCATACTGCTAACATTTCGCTTATGGAGTCTATACTATTACACTTAATCCTCGATTATTAACATGCTTTTTCAATGTTGATTATTAATATTTGCTTGAAGGGCATTCCTTAATTATTTGCTCTGACAAAGGAGTCGCTTGCGACTATACATTGATATTGTAATTTTTTTGTTTTTATTTGATAAAGTATCTCTTTAAAAGTATTTTTTCCATTTTATAAGTAAATGTAACAACTGAATCCAGATATAAAGAATGGTCCGTTTTAATCAACCCATTAGAATATCTCAAAATCCTTAAGTTTAAGACAAAAATGTTTCTTATAAAAGTTACTTAGTTACTAGGAAGAAAAAAGATTGTAATTTTGGCTGACTTGAAGAAGTTGTCCTTAAGGTCAGATCAAGCATTATGCAAGATATATAGAGGTTGCACGGTTAGATTTATACCTTTACACTTTGACCTGACTTTAAGGATAGCTTCTTCAGGTCAGCCAAGATCACCATCTTTTTCCCCCTAGTAACTAAGTAACTTACAAGAAACATTTTTATCTTAAACTTAAGGTTTTTGAGATATTCTAATGGGTTGATTAAAACGGACCACCCTTTATCTCTGGATTCAATTGTTACATTTACTTATAAAGCGGCATAAATACTTTTTAAGAGGTACTTTATCAAGTAAAAAGAAAAAAATTACAATATCGATCTATGGTCGCAAGCGGTTCTCTTGTGAGAACCTTTCTATTGAGCAAAAAATTAATAAGAAGGAATAGTAAATGAAACCATATTCAATTAGGAAATATGAAATATGATATCGAAAATCCATATAAACGGGGCGATTCTAACGGAATGGAAAGGACAGTTTCTATAAATGTATCCGCCACAAGAAGGCGAATATTAATAATCTAGGTTAACCTAATAAAAGAAGGCTCTGGAATGTGATAACAAATATTTGGGCAAATTCGCGCTGTTAGATCACGTACTGTTCTCACATATCTCCTTGGGAATTAAAGCGGATAAATCTCGTTGCTGTTCAACGCCGCGCTCGCTCTAAGATCTTTATCGAGTTTCCGTCTAAGACGCCTGTTGTCGGTCTCTCACCACGTCAAGTCCTGCTAAAATAGCGTTTCGGTCTCACGACCGTCAGAGTTAACACGATCGCGATCGTACCGCTGACGAATCTCGTACGCATAGAACGTGCATTTTTCTTCCTTCCGGCGATACATACTCGTGGGGTAAGTTGCGCGGCCGACGTCATCACGTCTCGACATTTTCCGCGCTTTATCAGCCGCGACAGGGCGTTTTCGCGCGCGCAACACGGCGAATTTACGAGTCTCCGTGCTTCTTCCGGCGTCGTAGGACACGCCCGATACTCTCTCAGCGAGTTAATGGATCGCGTCGTGAAAATTTCCGTATCGTCGGACGCGACGCGAGACGATGCGTTCCGGCCAAGACCGCACTCGCGAATTTACGATGCGCGCTTCCCCGCCCCGTGCAGCGAGAGGGGAAGAAAAAGGGGCGTAAAGTAGAAAAAATGCGGCTTCTCAGGGGATCAATAGGTTGCCTGCGTTTCGTGTTCGATCGCGGAAACTTTCCCGGCAGTCGTCGTCGTAGTGCATTCGCGGAAGGCGTTGTTTCTATGCATCCGCGCTCGCACGGCGCTCTCATACAGGGGGATTTTGCATCGCGACTATGCAGCCGGGCGATCGAACATCGTGGGCATTTACACAACGACCTACCATCACGTATGCGCATACCGAATCACTTATGACAGTCTCCCGCTGCCGGTGAACTATCGCCGCCTTCGGTGCCGGTATTACACCTTCAACGTACACACCACGCTGTTTCTATCGTGTAACAGCAACAACCGACGCGGCGACGGCGGTTGATATAATAGCTCGCGATGTTCTCCTCAAACTCGTTTCATTTCACGATGGAATACGAATCGCCGCCGCCGTCGCTTCCAACGTCGGTCACGCGCCTGTAGGTTCGTCCACAATACGCGGAGTAAACTTGGATCAAGTCGAGAAATAAATTATTCCGCTTACGTCCTTATACTCTAGCTCCCTTACACCGGAAGGATTTCTCTTAAGTAAAAGACATTTCCGATGTAGGGGCTTTCGTGCATGGATTGCCATGAACATAGACATAAAACGTGTACTTTAATCGATGGACCAATCAGGATTTTTCTGTCGTTTATAGAAGTAGAAAAATAAGAATATTAGTGTATCTCTATTTTATAGTTACTTTTTGCATGAACTATATATTCTTAAAGAAAAAGCGAAATCAAACGCTCCGTTTCGGATTTGCGATGTGACGTTAATTGGATATTATTGACGAAATCCATTTTTCTTGTTAGATTAATATTAAAAATACGCGTCGGCGATGTATTTTTGCGTCTTCGCATGTCGACTTTGTCGCGGAATTATTTTGTCGACATTGATTACTCTATTTCAGAAGTTTCATATCATCCGCTTGGTTGCACGGTTATTTTTCGCCGCGAGTCGGTATTTTTACACCGCGGTTTTAGAAGAAGAACCTAGATAGAGACCTAGAGGTCTTTTATGATTATTATAACGTAAGACAATCGATAATAAATACTTTGCAATTATTTTAATTACTTTTAATTCGCAATTCTTTTAATTCTTTTATAAAGCAAATATATTGAATTGTTAAATTTACATCATACAATAATATAAGTTTTTTGTTATATCGATGCAGCGACAAATTTATTAAAAGTTCTACTTAGATTTTCATTATTTAAAATTTGATTATTTCTCAACGTTCTACTTGCATTTAATATTTATTCTTAACTGCAATCAGCAAATTGCAGTTAAGGATAAATATTAAATGCATGACTTATTTCATCTGCAAATGCAATAAGTGAGATAAGGAAATATTAAGTACTTCATATGAGTTAATAATTGATTCCAATCCTTCTCATTGCCATAAGAAATTATTTTTGTGACAAGAAATCATACTTTATTCATAATCCTCTTAATATGTTATGTTAGAAATTTTAATAGAACTTCAAAATTCAAAAAGAAGGAGATAAGAGGAAGGAATTGTAAAAATAATAGTTATATATCTAATAATACTGTGTAGAACAATAGTTTTGAACTTGAATGCGGTACACAAAAACAAGACTAAACAAGAAAAGAAGGTAGAATGAATATATTTTACGATTCGAAGAATATTATTAGACGCACAAATAAGCATTTACAAAACTTATATGAGATTTTAAAGCTGGCATTTATTATAAATTACTATATTACATTTAATATGAAATCTAATATGATAATATATTGCTTGCAGGCAAATCTTGATCATTTTTTTCCGTATCTCTTTCATATTTCTATTTCGTTATTCCATATGACAAATATGAGTATAATCTGGTCAGTCACAAGAGAACTAACATTGTTGAATTTCGTAATTTAATATTTCTTAAAGCCGTTGCAAAGTTTACGTATATCAGTTTGAAGTTTATATATTTTCCGATAGACTTTCATAATTATCACAAGACAATTAATGAAGGAAACCTTACAATTTTTATTTACGTTTATACTGTGTATTGAATCAATAATTAAGTTTACATCATAGAATAACGTAAATTTTGTATTGTATTGATGCAACAAATTTATTAAAAGTTGCACTTAGATTTTCTTATTTCTATTTCGTTATTCTATGTGATAAAAATATGAGTGCAATCTGGTCGATCGCAAGGGATTCAACGTTGCTAAATTTACCTGAAGTTGCCTGTAAAGTTTATGTATAGCAGTTTATCAGGGAATATATCGAAGGGATCGTATGTGCAACCGAGCGTTTTATGTAGGGAAAGTAAATTTTGCGAGCGTTCCGTAAGTTATCGGCGATGATTGTCGCGTTAGATAATCGTAGGATTTGTGCACGACAACACAATAATTGTCGTTTCTCTATTTCCAGGCGACACCGTGATATGCTGATCGAGGAGTTACTGCCGACGGAGTTACTGCCACGACGTGCCTTCCCGTCACGTTCTCTAGGATAAATTACTTAGGCGCCGTTTTATTCGGATTTTTTTAGTCACCACGATAATATATATGTATGACCTAACGCTAAAATACGTAATGATATTAAATGCGAGTCTCCAAAGTGATGTCAGGGACTATCGTTTTTCTCTTTGTGCATTCACGACGATCCTCTCGTGCACTCAATAGCCGAGTTTATGCACACGTGAGCTCGCACGAGCGATAATGTGTTCGATCAGGAAATATGTAAATTGTTGACGATATTATTTTTATCGTTAGAAAAGGGGGAGACGAGAGAGACGGGTCACATCAACCAGGTTGTTGCCCTTTATTTTTATCGCGTTCCTTTGTAGGACGACGAGCTATCTTTTTCTAGGGCAATCGAGGCTACGCCGAGATGATCAATGTGAAATTTCAAACGAGAACTTCGCCAACACGTCTACTATTTCAATTTACCGAAAAGTACCGGTTACTGGTATGGATTACCGCGGAAATAGAATATTTTGCGCGTTTATCTTTACATTGCTGCTATCGTTCGCATTAATACTCGACTACGATATGCTTAATGCACGAAATAAAAGTGTACCTTCTCTTTCCCATTTGCAGAGAGATACGTGTCTTAAATTCACGTCCGAAGCCGAGTACCGTAGCTTTGTTTTTGTTAGCGGAGCTTTTCTCGTTTTTATGGCATGCTAAAACTTTCATGACTCGTTCGTTAAATAGGGAAGTTTTTCGAGCGTATGGAAATGAACGGGTGGTAATGTATATACAGTGTAATCTACGATTTGCATTAAACTCATCCGCGGCCAAAATTGTCTGTAATACGTGAGAAAAATCCCAAGTCGAAATTTTTGTTCTGCACTAACTTAACTCAATGAGTCCTTCAGATATTAATGCGTGAAAATAAGAAAAAAAACATTCTCCATAATCCTCCTATTAATAAATAAATGTAATTTATAATAAAATTTATAATGAAATAATTAATAATAATTAATTGAATAATAAATAATTATTCTCTTTTTAGTATTGACAATTTTTATAAAATATCAAAATTCCAAAAGGCAAAAAAAAGTAAAATATATCAATTGTATACACTGAGTGAAAAATATTTAAGAAAAAAAATATAAATCGTGATAAGCACTAATAATATATTTATTTATACTAGTATAACATATTTTTTAAATATAAAAATATACATTGTCTTAAAATTTTATTTTGAAACTTTACTTGAAATTTTTTTTGAAGTTTTTCATAAAAGCGCGATTATTTATTCTATTAAAATAAAATAGATATAGTAAAATAGAAAGAATATAGATTTATGTAAATATGTTATTATTATTCACTATTTTTTATTTTTTAGATATTTTTTCTCTCAGTGTATCTAATAAAGTGACGTACCACGCAACACAGATTTAAATTAGAATTCAATACAATAATAAATAGTCTTTTAAAAAAACAGAAGCAAAAATAAGAATTATTATTGGACGTGCAAATTAACATTTGCGACAATCGTACCAAATTTTGATGGCGGCATTCATAATTGTGAATCGTATAAAAATCTTATATTGACAGTAGAATTGATCATAGATACGTATTTATGGATTATCAGTCGGCTATTTATATCATTATTCTTCGTTTTGTTGTATCAAATAAGCACAAGTGCAAATTGACGTGTAATTAGGGACTCGCGAAGCCATGATTATTTGTCAAATGATGATGGATTATGAATGCCAGCCAAAATTCCAACCGGACGTCTACTTCATCCTCATTAGGTTCGTTAAGCGTCTATCTCAAAATTGGAAATACCTTGTACAATATTTCATTTCACATACCTGCATGTATATGATGTATCGGTGCACGTGTCCTTCGCCCTAGATTTCCGATACAACATCCTCACTTCGTCACGACACTCGCGCGCTGACACTAGCATTGATAGCCGTATAGATTCGATTGAAAAGAGATACGTGTTAATTAATATAACGCGGCGCCGACGAGAGCTCGATTAAATATTTCAAGAGCGAACGGGAATATGACAACGAACGCACCAACACGTGTAAGCACTTGGCGGTATATATATACACTCGCCGGCTCGAGATGTATTGATATGACGCCGCGACACGTGCGCGACGCGCGAGGACAAGTGCGATCTTCTAGAGGTTCCTACGAAAGTGCTACTGACAGCTTCCGGAATGTACTACTTTCACTCACGTCCCGCCTAGTCCCCTCCCCCCGCGCCGCACCTTCCCACCGGGCGATACGCTCACCCGATTGACGCGCGATGACGTAAGCCTTTTTTCTCATTGTTGTGAGAATCTCGCGGCGAGATAGCGGCGTAATAGAGTCGTTGCGTCCGGCGGACGACAGATAGTACGACGCGGAGTATCGGAGCGTTTAATATTCATTCGCGTAAATTCCTGAAATATTGAATCGGCTTTTCGCGGTAGCATGGCGTCCATTAACACGTGTTCCTCCGATTGGTATTGCGCGAGTGTCAGTGCTATGTCACCAGCGGGTTTCGGAGTGCCACGACGGAGTAGCGATGTTGGATCAGGAAGTCAGGACGGAAGAAACAAAGGTGCCGGGATGCCTCATCGATTCATCGTATATTTACAAGTACGTCAAATTGTTTATTCTATACAGAAAGTTTCTCATATTATAATCTCGACGTTTAACGAATCTCAGCGAGAACGAAGAGATATTTGAGTCAAAATATAGATTAATATTTATAATCCATTAATATTTATTAAATAATCTTAGCTTTACGAATCTTTAATTGTCAGTGGTTGTATGAGAAATATTATTTTTTTTATATCTTTGTTTCACAGTTTATACAGTTTATACAGCAATTTGCTGTATTGCAGTTAAGAATAAATATTAAATGCAAGTAGAACGTTCAGAGATAATCAAATTTTAAGTAATTCTGAAATCTTTTATAAATATAACATGGAGAAAACAATAAATTATTTCTATCTAGAAGTTCTGTTGCATATTTCTCATACACAAGAAATACGAGAGAGCAGATTAAATATATTTTACGATTCGAAGAATATTATTAGACGCACAAATAAGCATTTGCAAAACTTATATGAGATTTTAAAGCTGGCATTTATTATAAATTATTTATGAACTATGAATAAAAGCATGATTAGCTACAAGTTCTTATACATAGACATTCAGCTATTTGAATTTGCAAGGTTAATGTATAAGAAAGATTTTGATTCAATGCATCTTCTCACTTACATGATTAATATGGAAAAAATATTTCAACTGCTTTTTATCTCAAGTAAATAATTGATTCAAATAGCTGAATGTCTATGTATAAGAACTTGTAGCTAATCATGCTTTTAATCATAGTTCATAAATAATTTATAATAAATGCCAGCTTTAAAATCTCATATAAGTTTTACAAATGCTTATTTGTGCGTCTAATAATATTCTTCGAATCGTAAAATATATTTAATCTGCTTCTTTTCATTTTTTGTTTAGTCTTGTTTTTGTGTACCGCATGCAAGTTTAAAACTATTGTTCTGAACAATATTATTAGATATATAACTATTATTTTTACAATTTATTTTTCTTGTCTCCTTCCTTTTAAATTTTGAAATTCTATTAAAATTTCTAACATAAACATTAAGAGGATTATGAATAAAGTATGATTTCTTGTCACAAGAATAATTTCTTCTTATGGTAATGAGAAGGATCGGAATCAATTATTAACTCATATGAAGTACTTAATATTTCCTTATCTCACTTACTGCATTTGCAGATGGAATAAGTCATGCATTTAATATTTATCCTTAACTGCAATTTGCTGATTTCAGTGAAGAATAAATATTAAATAGTAGAACGTTGAGAGATAATTGAATTTTAAATAATTCTGAAGCCTTTGTTTAAATATAACATGGAGAAAAACAATAAATCATTTTTAACATCGAGTTAAGACAAGAACTTGCCTCAATATAATGTTATAATGATTCTTTAAATTTGACGGAATTTGCAAGGTTAATGTATAAGAAAGATTTTGATTCAATGCATCTTCTCACTTACATGATTAATATGGAACAAATATTTCAACTGCTTTTTATCTCAAGTAAATAATTATCAACTAAAAATACAAAATGCCCAGACACACACACATACCTAATCCTAGATATTCTTATTGTTTTAGTTTAAATACGAGTATTTAAACATTTAAACTTTTAACATAATATATATCCAAGGTGAGTCACTTAATATTAGATTCTATATCTCTTTTGTTTAATATATTAGAGAGAAATGTTTAAACAATAAGTGGTTTGAAGAGATAAATATTATGCCAATCAGACCTTTTCCAACCACACATTTTTTCTAATTTTCTTTAAAACTTATTCCTTATACATTTTTTTCTAATATAATAAATAACAGAAATATTCTAAAATTCTAACGTTAAGTAACACCCTATATACATATTCTGTATATATATATATATATATATATATATATATACACATTCTATGTTAAAAATCTAAATGTTTATTTATATTTAAAGATAAAAATTTTTGTGGTTTAATGGCAATAACCATTGAGTCTCAGCCTTCCTCAAGGATATTTCTGGCTATTTAACATAAAAAACAATAAGAATGTTTAGGTTAGATACGTGTTTAGAATTGGTGTTTTTACCTTCTTGATTTTATAAAGAGATATCATAGAGAAGGAGAGTCATATATTATGAATTGTCCCTGTGAATGTGAATGCACAATCGTAAATGCCTAAAAAACAAGATAGATACAGGGTCGGTTAGTAAATCGGTTGAACGATCGCAAGAACTTCGTGTATGTTACTGCCGTTATCTCTCGCGCGTTTAATACGCGCTTTATGCATAATGCGTCCGCGCAATACATTTTAATTGTGCAAAAACATTAACAGACAGTTATTTACCTTTGATAATTATGTATACATTCTCGTGTATGAGAAACAGTGCCGCCCTGTTACAACCATTGAATATGCGTGTATAGGTTATCGTGCTGTTGCACTCTCGATTCCCACTGTGTAGTGGCTGTTGTACATATATTTTACCAAAATATCGTTTTCGCGATTAGCCTCGTCAGTCAGATTTTACAGGCGATTATACATTCCGCTCGCGCGCTGACTCCGCGAACGAAAAAGTTTCGTTACGTCGACATGTTGCACGTATAGTAAGTCGCAAAACGATTTAAACACGATGAACTTCAGAGCGTAGGCGATGGCGTAATTCGTTCTCCTATTTAGGCTACGCTCTAAAGTTCATTGTGTTTAAACCGTTTTGCGACTTACTGTACCAGAAATTGGCGCCACACGGCGGCGTCATTTTCTCGCTGAGTTGTAAGCTCGTCGATAACATCCCAGATAACATGCATGTCTAAAAGATGTCAAAAGATATTTAAAAGATATCTTGTGCAACATTTTGTTGCATAAGACGTCTTTTAGATATCTTTTCGACATCTTTTAGACATGCATGTTATCTGGGATAGAGCTTGGACATATAGAAAAACTTAAGTAATAAGGAAATTGATCAATCACAATCGATTATTCTTCAATCATAAAGAGAATTGTTCACTGTGATTGGTCAATTTTCTTACTGCTTACGTTTTTCAGTGTGTTTGCGGCCATACACTCGCAACAGGAGCGGAGCCTTACCGGTACATTGAAGCAGCGTCTCATTTCTCGTCCGTCTCGGGGCAGACGTCCGGGTTGTCACAATATTCCTATTAAATTATGGCTCGAGAACTGCAATCGAAATGGACGAATCAAGTAAGGCAGAGCCAATAGATTCGTTTTTTGTAGCTGAACTGGCTGCACTGACTTGCACCGGTTTTCTTTCTCTCTCAGTTCCATACTAAAGTCTAGGGCCTCTATTCTTGAAATTTTTGCGTATACGTAATTTTAATTGCGCAGCTATTTTATAGTATGATTAAACCTGCGCAGTAAAACTTACATATACGCAACTATTTCAAGAATAGGGGCCCTGTTCTTTGTAGCTGCACTGCTGAACCAGTTAAGCAATAAGTTAGAATGCGAAAACATACTTGTCTCACTTCAATTTATTGTACCAGTTCAGCAGTGCAGCTACAAAGAACATGCCGTATGTTACAGCTACATACCCATTTCTTTTTGAGTCTCGGAAGCGCGCGTACACCAGTTCAATTAGACAAAGACAAACACAGACTTAAAACATAGATAACCTGATGGGTCCGATGGGATCGTAATCTTCAATCTATAGTCCGGTATGAGCATAACGGTCGGCGGAGAGCAAGAAAGCGCGCGTCTTCCGCTCGGCTCGGCGTCGCGCGCCCTCGCGTTCGTTCGCATTCGCGAGGCGAGTGCAGAACGCGCCCTTTCGATTGCGGCGCGCGCACGCTTGCGCGCCGCGCCGGCCAATCGCGGCGCGGGTGGTAGAGGGTGCTCCGATCGATGCGCCCGCTTCAGCAGTCGCGGAGTGCGACGGTGGCGGCCGAGTGTCCGCGTTGTAATGGTACGGTTCGCGCGACTCGATTCGGTTCGGCGTGGCGCGGCGCCTGGCGACACCATCGCTCGCCGTGAACCCGGCAAGCAAGGTAGACCGCGACACTGTCCTTATCATAGTGTATTATCCGAGTGTTGCCGGCCTGCTACCGCCCGTGCACTTTCCGCTCGTTCATCTGTTCTGTTCCGTTCCCAATCGCACGCGCTCGCCTTCGCTCGTTCTTTATCACGACAGTGATAGCCGGTTCACCGCCCTCCGCAGCGCTCTTTTTGTTTATCTGCTCGATGGTCTATAACGCTCTTCGTCGAGATCATCGCGATATGAGCGTGAGACGATCGCGGCTCGCGGCCGGCAATCAGTGCTGCCAGAAGAGTCGCGTCGGCGAGGCAACGCGGCCAAGCAGCAGGACGTCGCGTGGATCTCCAGCGTTAATTGTAAGTGACTTGCTTTTTTCTCTTTCTCCCTCTCTCTCGTCCTCCTCTCTCCGATCGCTCTCACCGCGCGCTCGCGAGTAGGGCGACTCGCGTCGGCGAAGCGCGTCGCCACGGCAGGGGTTACTCCGTCAAACGGGGGTGTGCGCTCCGCTTCGACGTGCGCGATACCAGTGATACGCGGTGCAAGGTGCGCGAGGGTCGCGCCGCTGCACCCCGAGGTCGGTGTACCGTGCTCCACGACGTCGACGAGGACGAGTTACGCTCGATACCTTTATTTTCGCCTTTCACTCGACCTCCCGCGCCGAGGCTGGGCTCTCTCGGAACGCATTTTTTGCGTGAATTCACAGCCGCGCTCCGCGCGTTTGCATCGGTGCTAAATCGTTGAGCGTTCGACGTTTTCTCAACGGAAGGAAGAATAAGTGCACGAGGGAATGTAGGACTCGCAAGCGAGGTAATGTAAGCACAGGAGATAGGAACGCGAGATTTGTGCCTGTTGGCCTTGAGAAGACTGAACGGTCTTTAAGGAATTCAGACATTTTGGGAAGCTCTAGACTCGAGAGGCACAACCGGAGGCATTCTAGAGAAGCGTGTTTTACTCTGATCGCTCGTTCCAACCTGATCATTTATTATTCACGCTAAAACGACGTTGCAGAGTAGTGAGCGCTTTACATTATCTAATAAAGGTTAGATTGCGGGCA